TAGTCGATCGAGACCCAACATGTCAGTAACCAAGTCTGGGATGCTGTATCTGCTACACTCATTCAACTTCCCAAGGTAGTCCTACTATCAAACAAGATCCACGAAGGCGACGACCACGGCCTTGGTGGGTTATATATCTTCTTGAGACTGTGTATAGAGGCGTGTCGATGGTTAATCATTCCTCTATTGGGGTTAGCACCAATACTAATGAGGCCCTTTACTCTCCCAGCCCTTATAGTATGTCTAGTTTTAGCTACTTATTTGGTGGTTACTGGTGATAGATATCGTCCTAATGGTAAAGCTACACCAGGTATAGAGGGCCACACTGAAGGCACCCAGTTTGGTAAACTAATAGAAGAGCTGCTAGAGTCTAGAGCAAGAGCCTTCAAGCCAACACCATATGCTGCTATCAATGGTCATCTGGCTACTGCTATACCTTATCTTACTTATCGTTATAAGAAGCCTAATCTCAAGAGGAGATGGATGTACACTATCGATGGACAATCTGTGGCATTAGATTGGTGTCTTCCTCCTCCTACAGGCAATGTAAAGGGTATAGTCATTGTTTTAGCTGGTATTAATGGTAGCTCTACAGAGAGTTATGTATGTGATCTCATAGAGAAGGCCACCTCCCAAGGGTATGCTGTATGTTGTTTGATAAGTAGAGGGGCGTGTGGTACGACAGTGGTAGGTGGACCTGAGGAAGAGCCTTGTGGATCTAGGGTTAGTGATGTTGAACAAGTTATCAATATATGTCATGATGTTGTTACTGGTAGTAGTAGTAGTCTACTACCAGTGAGTATGATAGGCTATAGTCTAGGAGGTATAATGGCTACCAATAGTGTAGCCAGGCTGGGTTCTAAGTTGAAGGGTAAACTCAATTCATGTGTATCAATATCAGGTGAGATAAGAGTATATGAGAAATATGACTTCCCTGCATCTGTCGAGTTATGGCAGCCCCTCATAGCCTACGAGCTCAAGAGAACATTATTGGATCACAGTATTGAACGTAGTGGATTCAAGCCACTAGACCCTAATTGGTATGATAACATCAAAACTGTTAATGACATTGATAAGGAGATTATAGCACCTTCTCATGGGTTTAAAGATTGCATACAGTATTATCATAATATGAGTGCTCTTAGTCCATTATCTAACAATAAGGGTAAGGATATTGCTATACCAACACTATGTGTACATGCCTATGATGATCCTATTATACATGTTGACTCCTCAGCCTTACTACCTGTGGATACCTCTAGATATCTCTTTACGTTTGTAACCCCTAGTGGTGGTCATATTGGATGGCCTCAAGGATGGCTACCATGGACTAATGGTTTTGCTTGGGTCTCTGATACTGCTCTATCCTTTATGAATATGGTCGCTTGTAACACAACTGCTGTTGATAAGCATGGATCAGCATGATCTAGTTAACAGCTCGGGAGGGGGGCATTCTATATCCACTCTTTTACTACTA